GTATTTATAGATTTGTGTAATATCACACTCCATTTAAATCTGTATTAACATTGTAATTTCATAAACTTTATCTAATTTAATTCTGTGTGTAGAAAGCAAGTACTCTTTTGTTTACATTTAGATTGACAGCTAGAAATCAGAATGTCAAACGTCATAAGCAAATGTCAAATAGTGATGTAACATGCTAATACTCAAGGACGGCAATTTTAATTGTTATAAGATTATTATCGTTTTTTTTGTAAGATTGGAAGATGTGTGACATTGTATCTAATACTTCATATTAGTCTGTGAGGTGGCAACACCAGGAAACGGAAGCAAATAAAGTATTCTATAAACCAACATAAACATATTAAAAAAGTTCGAAACTTAGACATCAATACAAATACGAAAAAGTATAAATAGAATATGAGTTGTTTATTGAGTTTGAAAATGAATTTACTTTTATACATGAAAGATAACCGGAAGGGCTGTCATGGTGAAATCAATAACGTACCGTAGCGACATCTAGTTTGATTTCAAAAACTATTTTTTTTTAAATACTTCCTCATTATAGCGCCATGACTTTGCCATCGGAGTGATTTGTATGGATGATTACTAGAATGTGTGCTTAGTAAATTAGATGCGTTCAGAAATATTATTATATTTTACAAACTTTCAAATTACAGAATAAAAAATCAAATGAGTAACTTGAAAATAGACGTTTAGATTATAAACTTCAATGGTGAGTTATAATGGTGTTCAAATCACTCAAATTATTCATATAAATATATTGATTTGAATAAATCTGAAAATGATCGACGTTCGTGCAAAGAGAAAAGTTTAATGTGCCCGACTATAATATTTTGATGTTAAATGTGAGAGAAATTGTTGGTCCTTCAGGGCCCTCTGAGAATGGGGGCCCCAGGTACTGGCCCCTAGTGCCCTTATGGTAAAGACGGCATTGTGTAAATATTTTGTCCGCCTTGCCCACTAGAATTAAAAACTTACTGTAAACTTTCATTTGTGTGTGAGCAATAAAAGTTCATATATCTATCTAATAATATAAATATTAATTACAAGAAAGTCGCCTGTTCTCTTTTATTACAACCCTTGCGGCATGTCAACCACAAAAATAAAATAATTAGGTGATAATTAAAAATAATTATAAAAAGGACCTTGGTGAGCAATTTTTCAGTCACGTACAGCTTGTGTAGTATATACATGGAAGCTTTTGTATCATGGTATAATGTTACAGACATTTAAAACATGATCTTAACCGAAAACAGCTGTGTACCTCCAAAGAGCCACCCAATTTACAATGACAAATTGCGAAATGGCTGGATGCAGTCTCTAGCGAAAAGTATACTTCTGTTATTTATGTTCACTTATTTATTTCTCAAGCTTTGCGATTCTGAACCTAATGAGAGTGGAATCCTGTCTGTAACTTCTCTGTCACGTAACGCCTGCTAAATAAAATAGGGCAAAATCTCTTTGAATTTCAAACATCTGAACAGAATAGGTGATGTTACTGAGATTATTTTATTATATCGACGATTTGTTACGTCTCGATTTTTATTTCCATTGTTTCCAAAATACAATATTTTAGCTAATATTCGTAATATAGTACTATAAACCCAAAATTAAATTTTAAGGAGATGATTAAGCAGGAGATAATTTTACATAAAGGTATTTTTTTGAATTTGAAAAGTAAATTAACATTCTTAAACAAAGCTCATGTTATCAAAACCTCAACCAGCAAATCAAAGCGTCATTTTCATCAAGTTATATGATGAATGAAACTAAAGGCCCATAAAAGTAGAGTAAGCCACTCAACTGGCTTTATGTAGTGCATAGTCGTAAATTTTTACTACTTGATCTAAAAATTTCATTGTGTTCTTACATCAATGTAGGTATGTAGTAAAAGGGATGTTACTATTATAAGGGATAAACTGTTTTATTGAAAGACTTACAGGTAGGGAACATTAATAATGGGTAGCTATATAAACTCCATTGAAATAGATTTTGCATCTACATAATTCTTAACAAATTTTATCATGTTATGAAATCAAGAGTTATGAAGCGTCCTAGATAAAGTCAACGCTACGTCAAGCTATATCATCATCATCATCATCAGCCCTTTTCGTCCCCACTGCAGGGGCTCAGGCCTTCCTTGTGGATGGTTAAGGAGAATGGGCCATTTCCCTCCACGCTGGCCCAATGCGGATTGGAGGGTATTGCAGTCGGGACCACGTTAAGCCGTTGGTCCCGACTGCAAATGCAGCCGGGACCAACGGCTTAACGTGTCTTCCGAAGCACGGAGTAGCTCGAGATAATAATTTTTTGGTCACCCATCCCGTGACCGACCTTTGCGAAAGTTGTTTAATGACAAAGATTGCAGGCCCCGGCGCTTATCTACTACGCCACCGAGCTACTTCTGTCAAGCTATATAAAACTATCAAATTCCTCCAGTTGGTTTTATGCATTAAACCTTATGCATTGTCAAGAGTTCAAAATCAAATCAAAATTGAGGAAATTTGATATATTGTGGTTACCCGACGTGAAGTGGTGTGTAGAATAAAATGTAGCTACCAATATTCAGTTAAAAGTACTATAATTCCTTACGTTTACGTTACCTTGTACATTTTTATACAAGATAGATCTTATCTCACAATCTTAAAAATCTATTGAGTGACACAAGGTGTCCACATCAAATTCACGTTTTATTAATATCAGGGTTACGGTCTACACATAATTTCAGGTACTAATAGTAAGTAAGAATATCTCCTCATATTTTCCTTTGTCATCTTGGTAAAATTCACGAAATAAAAGATAATTAAGTTATTTGCCCAAATGTCCATTAAATTTTTTCATTAATTTAAAATGACATTCTCCAGTTGGACAAACGTGCATTAAAATTTTCATTAGTTTTAAGTGACATTACCCATACAAATTTGACATTCATTAGAGCTTTAAGGCGTCATTAAATCGTTAAATCGTAAAAAATGGACGTTTGTGCAACTGACCGTGAGTAAATTTCCATGTTTTATCACTTGCCACAATATTTATTAGGTTAAAGGCGTATTATATAATTTGGCTTATTGAATATTCAAATCCCTTCTAACCCTTAGAAATCGTGACCTCAATAACAAATTCATTCAGATTGAAACTGAATTTCTGTTTAGCGATGTTTTTCAGGAATCAATAACTGAGCATTTTTGTAAACGCCTTAATAAAATATAATAGCAAATCTCTATAACGTGTATTTCAGATCATACGTCCTTACGTATGTAATTTTGTAATAAACAGACAGCAGTATTCTATTAAAAACAGACTTACTAATGAATGAATACTTTATTGTATACTATAATTCTAGAACATGATAATTTACAGAGTTTTGTTTTACAATCTGCAGCCTTATCGTTAGAGAGCAAATAACGATAAGGGATTTGAATATTCTTCCAGGCAACCACAGGTTAGACTGGACTTTTACCTAACTAGATGGGTAGTAGATAGTTACGTTTTTTATATGAGAACAAACAGTTTCAGCAAACTTAAATGAGCAAAAGATAGATATAAAATAAAACCAAAGTTTGTTTTATTAAAATTCTAATAATATTTAATATTAATAAATTTGTACATTCCACCTTTTTTATTGATAATTGAAATAAGTTACTTACATTTTCTATTTTCATAAATATTACATAACTATTATTAAATCTACCAATTGAAATAGCTCCGTATGTCTATCATAAATAAAGTTTTCCTTGTTGTTTCTCAATAAATAAATAGAACTCAATAAAGAAATAAATAAAAAAAAAGTATCTCTACTTCCGTAGATTTAAAGCTTTTTTATAATTTGAATGAGAAAGAGGAAAAAAGTTACATGATAAATCATCAAATATTTTTTCGTTAAATATTCAGAGTTAGGTGTCAGCGATAGGATCGAACCTACTAGTGGTTCCTTTGTTCTAATACCGTTTCAGATGTCTCAGAGATATCTTAGATGATTGAACTTTTAAAGTATTTTGTATATGAGATAAATATTAACTTAGTTCGAAATGCAAAATCGATTAAATAAGCATATTTTCATTTAAATCTAACGGCCGGTTTCTTAATTGAGAAAAGTACAAAACCTTAACTGATTATGCCCAATTACTTAATTTTATTTTATGTTTCACAAGGCGAAATGTCCTATTTTTCGAAATGTTATGACCTGATCAATAAAAAAAAAAGCTAAAATCAGAAACGAAAACCTGAGTACAGTTTGAAATGTGCTTAACTTTAAATTCTCAATTCAGAAACCGGGACTTATGGTTACATTTCTAAGTACCATGCCAAATCGCATTCCGTTCATATAGTTCTATCGAACATGATACGAATATAGACACAGATTTTTGGTTGGTGCAAGCTATCACTAGGGCAACTCTGCTAATATTAGCATAAAAAAAGTCAATAGCATTTGAGCTACATACCTTTATGACACAGTTTTTGTTACTAGATCACAAAATAATAGATATATCTGTCACCATTGATTTGCGAGGAAGACATTGAACTTATTATATTACACTTCAGGTAGATTACAATGTCAAAATGCAGCTAGTTAGGATTCTATAGAGATGCGATTTACGTAAAAGTTACAGAATTGAGGCCCAAAAGCATTGACATCAAACCATTACGATAAATAATTTTCGTGTCGACCACACGATAGTTCTGAAACATCATTTACTTATAATTAATAAATGCAAGTATTAACTCTAATAAAATTTTGTTTCATTTTTACTCAATAATTCTGTTATTAAAACTAACTCAAATAAGCACGAATGTAGGCATATATATTTCATTAGATAAAGTATGCGCCGAGGGTAAGTATCCGTATAATAATAAAAAAAATATATATATAAACCCTTTTTTCTTTGGACCTAGGACTTCTTATGATTCATTAGAAGATGAGAGTTCTTAATTATTAAAAAAGAAAACTATTTTATCTACATTCTGTACAAGTTACATAATATTTTCATTTACTATTTAGAAGATCCGGGGGCTGTAATATAAATAGGTGATGGAGTTGGCCTGTATTTGGGCATGGCATAAGCTCTGTTAGATGCCCAATCTTTATTATAGCCAGCCCCAGATGAGTAGGTATAGGAGCTGCCATAATCCGAGTTGAAGTCGGACGCGTCACTGCTTCCGAAGTATGAGTATGATGGGTGATGGTGCTGTAAAATATTGGAAGTAAAATCAAGTTTTATTATTGTCTAATTCTATAAATCTAAATATAAGATGGGAAATTATGTATTTTTAATTATTTAACGCAAATCAGATTAACTAAATGATTTATTTATGACCCTCAGGAACTTTACCTTTTTGGATGCAGTCAAAATTATTCTTCAGGGAAAGTTCCTTCAAGTACATAAACGTCATATTAATACTGATTGTGTTTCTGTAAAAAAATAAAAATCTCTCTTGATACAATGTCCGTTATGAATCTCTTAAACAACAAAATAACCTTATGCACGTCTAATATTTATTTTAAGCCGTAATAATTCAACCAACATATTTAAGCAAGTGACCATTACTAAAAAAGTGTCAAATCAGATCGTTACTGTAAATAGACAATCAAAACTTCAAAGAAAACCAATATATATATATATTTATAAATGAATCCCTATTTCCCTTGGTCACGCCATCATACGTGAACGGGGTCTGTTTTCGCTAATTCTTTTTTTGGTGTGTTTGTTGTTTATTGTCAGAAGAAGGTTCTTATGAAAGAAAAAATAAGAAAATTGTGTGGGTAATTTGAAAATGTACGAATATTTAACCGCTATATAAAATTAATTCCAATCTAACAGTTTGCTTTGATATAAACTTTTATGTAATGAAATAGAATTAATACAATGCGTACTACAAAATTTTAATAATTAATACAGGGCAACTTCTGTTAGTTAGTTTGAAATAAATAACAAAGGAATCGCTTTTAGAATCGCATTGAAATAACAATATAGTATTGTAAAATTTAAATTAGCAAGTCCATTGTTACATTGTTTGCACCTATTTAAACCTAATAAAATTCTGAAGATTAGCTCAATTATAATATACTACTTCTACCATTTGATAGATAAATTGATTACCCTACGTCACGGATAAACTATATGTACTTACTTTTTCACGAAATATAAAATAATTGAAAGTAAAATTTTTGTTTCATAACTGGACAAAACATAATTTTGCTTATTTACCTTGCATGACTTCAAGGTGTTCAGTAGACTCGGCAACAGTAATGCAGCTATCAGAAGCAACTTCTTTATCAACAGCACAGCTAGCAGTACAGGAATAAGAAGCAACTTCGTCTTAATGGTAGTAAGTAGAGTGAGTAGGGGCACAACTACCGCCAACTTCTTCTTCTTGCCACGAGCTGTGTATCGAATTGAAAGTTTTTGGATTGAAGTTAACATTAGACGAATATAACCTACTATAATGCAGCACAATTTCTTTAACCATTCTACTTTTACAGGTATTTTTAATATTTTAACAGGTAATAGATACCCAATTATGAACCAATTTTTTTTTTTTTAAAGCACATCAAATAATATTTTGAAAATATTTAATTGCAGATATGTCTATATCTGACTTTGTTAGTTTTTTGACTATTCGAATTGTACTGCTTGAAATGTTCAACTTTAAATCATAATATTTTTACATACATTTGTAAAATTGATATTATCAATTGTTAAAAATGTATTACGATATCGCTTTGCAATCTGTGCGCGTTATAAGTTTTTCATAAAGATTGTTATAACACAATGTACATAATGAGTTTACACAGCGCTTATTATTATAATTGTAATTTACAAATTACAAAGATTCAAGTAATATTGTAAAATGAAAATATTGTATTGATTAATTATTTTTGCACACATGCTATCCAGAAATGAAACAATTTAAACGGTTTCATCGCATTTGTATTCAGTTATATTGACGTTTCGGACCCTTTACAGGTTTCGTGTTCACATAAGACTAGTGTCAATTATTGGTAAGACAAATAAAAACACGATGAGACCGTTTAAAAATTGTTTCATTTATGAAAATATAGGTTTGTACTAGGATTGACTTAAAAAAAAATCTTTATCTTACGGGAAGCTACATCATACACACAATTTATGGGAGCTTAGTCCCGGAAAAACGACTGATATATTATACAATAAATGATCGTATTAATATTATAAATGTGAAAGTTTTTTTCTTTGGATGTTTGTCCGTCAATCTCGCCGAAACTACAGAACAGATTTTTATGAAATTTGGTATACAAATAGAGTATTAGCTGAATTCGATAATTGGATACTTTTTATACCACTAAATATTTACCTAGGGACCAGGCGAAGCCGCTGGCGAAAGCTAGTAATGTTTATATATATATCTTCGTTATTTTTCTAGAGATACAAGATTACACCAAAGTCATTTACTTCATGTAATTTGAGACGTTTTACGTTGAGCGGATAATTTCATTCGTGCTATTACCGTTAAATTGCTCTTATCTTTGATCTTAAAAAGATACTAACAAATCGGCCATTATCAAAATAGCGAATATAATCATATTCGAAATGCGTTCAACAAAAAAAAAATACAGTAATACCAAGCCGCATGGCGTTCTTAATCTAATTATTCCAATCGTCGTTCAATTTTTGCAGGTAAAATCGATGAAGGTCGGTCCCATGATGCGGCCTGATTATTTTGAAGTGACCTGATGCTCCGTTTGTTTGTTCGTGTAAAAATAATGATTTTAATGCATTTACAATTCATCGGACACAGGTTGATGAGTTAGTTAGGGTCACTGAACTCAATTTTATTGAAACGACAAGACGCAAACAGTGATTTTTAATTTTGATTCTTTGCTTTTGATTATGTCAAATTATCCATGTAATAATACTGTGCAGTAGTTTAGCGCTTTATATTCGTTCATGAAACGGCATGAGTATATTAAACAAATGTCAAAACGATATTAGGCAAAGTAATTATCTGTATCATTATTCCTCTGTTTAATATTATATATATTAATGGAATTCTACTTCTGAAACTTCTAATTGCTGACAGCCTGTCATCAAAATAAAGAGTAGGACGCAAACTAAAATTATTTTAGCAGTGTATGATATATGTTTTTGTGTGAGAGCCCAATAACATTTATACTAATTTTAACAACAAATAAATTTATAATATTAATGAAAAAGCTACTTCTAAAATATCGATTAATTCACTTTAAAATAATCTTTAAAGGTCTAAATGGTATAATTGATCCATTTCGCACAGAACAGTTAAACATTACGAAGACATTAAGTAGACCCTTTTAACTGTAATTTGACATTGTGGCGAATTATGTTGACTTAAGCTTAAAGGTTCTTGTAAACGTGAAATGTTTGAACTTGTTTAATTACGACCATGACAAATCTCGTGGGAATAAGGAATAGTTCTTGTTAACAAACCTAAATTTTCAGAAATTGTAATATAGTAATTAAAATAGTGTAGAGCTTTTACTGAAATAAAGACCAACAAGGTATTGCTAATGAAAAATTCTTAAAAAATCCACTTTGTCCCTGGAAATCCGGGCGACTGCTGTAACCGCTGACCAGGACCTAACAAGACTGACGAATTTTTTAAGCAAATGTTACTTTTTCGTTATTATAGAGTGTATTTTCATTAATGTTCCGGCAATCCACCCAAACAGCCTAAAGAAATATTTTTACAAATAGTTAAACTTTCGATAAAGATTACTAAGAATATCGTTCGGTATATCACTGTGATTGCAAATTGATCAAATATAACATCAAAGTAATTTCATAAGTGAGTGGTCTACTTTCAAAAGCCGCTAAAACCTTTTTTGTAAAATATAGAAACGCAGAAATTTTATTTGATATGTTATTATTATAATATTGAATAAACAATTGTTATTTACATTATAAAGCAGAAGAAGGCAAAGGCAAACAATAATCACTTTCGGAGCCTATATTATGCTAACAAACTAACAATCAAATCATTTCTCTTTATAACATTAGCATAGAAAATAGAACCAACAGCCTAGTCACCGCTGCTCCTGAGATATCTGTTTATATTGGCTTAATGTATTCAGAGATTAACATACATGCATATATTATATATTAGTAATGAAGTGTCTCAACTAAATGGATTCCTATTATCCGTACTTACTTAGGCGTAAGCGGATCAATCACTTCTGAACTTAACGATCCTTTGACAAAATAAACTTCCATCTAAAATAATTTTGTTGGAAACGATCCTAATGTTATTGGGAAGAAAATATGGCTTTAATGATAATTAATAATATTATTAATAATACTTTTTTCTCAAAAACTGGGCTTGCATTTTAACGATGTGTGTGTATGTGTGTAACCAACCGCCGATTGTGACACATAAATGTAATTGTTTTTCTTTCTCTTCTCTGTGTCTTTTGTTGTTTTTAATAAATATATCTATCTAAACTGCCAAATAATGCAATTTGATTATAAAAAATATATTTACAAAAATGAGCTAAAACATACTGCGACGTGGAAATAATATAGCTCTATCTAGTAGACAAAAAAGTAATTATTAATTTTGAACACTACAACTAACTAAATTGTTTTTGGGACATTTTAGGAGTTTTATTGTTACAAAGATTTCCATTCTCATTTGCACATCATAATCAATAAATATTTATATATTCTTTTTCTGTCTATATGAGTCATTATAAAAAGCAGTAATAAAATAATAGAAAACTAAGGATTTTATTATTATTTTTTTTTTCACCTCAAATAAATTATACCAGATCTTAAAATGGAATAGCGGTTGGTATGGGAAAAAAAGAAAACAAATGGGTATTAAGAGTCGTATATTATGGCGTACGATTCTTTTTGCCTACCTTGCCAAGGATACGGCGTGAAGATATATATAAAATGGAAAAATCAAAAAGATAAATAACTAATCAAAAAATTTAACTAACCCTGGCTAATTATCAGCTCTGAACAGCGGAGACAAAAATTTCCATTTGAGTAATGAAAATAAAAATAACTAAAGATAGCAGCGAAATTAAAACATTAAAAGACAAATCATAGAACTAGTTTGATACCACAAAACTAGACTAGACAAAACTAAAAAATAATGTGCGATCGTACCTGCAAAGTAATTGTAAATACAATAAATTTGAATTATCGACATTTCTAGTATAACTTTAAACCACGTCAAAACTGGCAAAGATGACATGTTCTTCATGAGGTCGTAACCATAATGTCATATCTATCAAAGTGTTAACACAAGCTACTTTGATATAAAAAAGTATATAAAAAAATCCGCTTAGATACTGAATTTGTAATTTACTGGTTGACTGAAACACCTAGAGGAATTAACTAATAAAATAAGACTGACAAATCAAATAGCTAACATCAAAAACTTGACGCCAAAGTTATATCATTTGATGAATTCAAGATTCTAAACACATAAAGTTTTTTCAAAAACTTGGATGTTGCAGTCTATGAGATGAACGCTTCAAACTTTATAATAAAAGAAGTTAAATGTTTCGCAGCTTTGAGATGTGTAATAAAATTTTCAAATTTGTTCTTTTTTTATATAAAATGACAAAAGAGTTTTTATATGCCCATGATTACGGCCGGTGTAACCCGGTCGAAACGACCGGAAATATAGGTAAGTGAAAAACCTTAGTATCAATCTATCGCGTTAATATCCGTTTCAAACAATGTAATTTACAACCATACACTTCTCACGCAAATCATAGATCTCATGCGAAATAGTTAAATTTGAGTGTTACAAATACAGATAGTTCTTCTCCATCCCAGAGGTACGGTATTTAGATAGTTACGTCTTTCGGTTACTTGTTTTTTAATAAAATTTTCGCATATATCCTTGTGGTATACTTCGTCCACAGAACCCTTTGTTTTTTTTCTGCACTTTCGTAATACCAGAGAAAACTACTTCAACTTCCATTAACTAACTATTCATCTTTGTATTTTGCGCTTCACAGAAGACTGCTCCCGGGGCACGCGCACAGTGATTGTTTGCTGTGCTTGATTAGATATTTACACTGGTATTTTTTTTCCTATATAAACAGAAATATAAACAAAAGTATAGATTATAAGCACAATAATCAGATGTTAGGACAAAACTGTTAAGAAACCCAGCTTCATAAATGGGAATCCATGAAAACTGATTTGATATCTTAATTTATAGCAAATATAGTCTTCTCTGTATAAGATATTCTGGAGCAGGAAGTAATGTAACAGTTTCAGATAATTATTATCTTACACACATCGTTCATGGTGAATAAATTAATGTTTGTTCAGCGAGACTTTAGAAGTCTTTATTGACTCAGTCATAAGTCAGAGTTTAAGGTTAAAGTAATTTTTAAATCAAAAC